CCTCCCCTTGGGACACAGCCTGGGGACAGCCCCTCCGCCCAGGACACAGCCTGCGGGAGCAGAGGTACCCTCACCCCAGACAAGGGGACAGGACCCTCCCCTTGGGACACGGCCTGGGGACAGCCCCTCCACCCAGGACACAGCCTGCGGGAGCAGAGGTGCCCTCACCCCAGACAAGGGGACAGGACTCTCCCCTTGGGACACAGCCTGGGGACAGCCCCTCCGCCCAGGACACAGCCTGCGGGAGCTGAGGTGCCCTCACCCCAGACAAGGGGACGTGGACACAGCATGGTCAGCCAGCTGTTCTCACACTGGACTGCAAATCCCAAGCCAAGTGACAAAGACTGGAAATGGTCTGAACCCTCTGGGCAGTGATGGAGCCCAAAGAGCTTGCCCAGAGGCTCCTGGCCCTGGCCCTCCATACTCCCGCTTCTATGCTCTTGAAGAGCCTAGGTCTTCAGATGGGCGTCGCCAGTTCCTGCTTCTTGAAACCAAAGAACCGCAAGAAATCAGACCTCCCACCAAATCAGACCTCAAATTTCTCCATGAATATTCCAGAAATCCAGAAAGTTTCCACTAAAATGGTTAATTCTGTTGAAAAGACTAAGTTAGCAGTACTATCCCTTAAATATACTAACTTAAAGCAGTCAAAATTAAAGAAGAGGACTCAATTATTGACATTTATTCTTTTGATAACTATTTGTTGCCTGCAGCTAGGTATTAATTCAATAGCGGGAGAGAGAGCATGAGCCCAGATAGGCCTGAGGTGCAAACGTGGGCACAGATCATCCTGGCTCCGAGGGAGCCTGTGGCCTGATGTGAGTGTCTCGGCCAGACACTCAGCACGGGCCTCTGACAGCTCAAGGCAAGAGGGGATGGGGGCTGCCAGGGTAGGGGTTGGTCAGACACTCAGCACGGGCCTCTGACAGCTCAAGGCAAGAGGGGATGGGGGCTGCCAGGGTCGGGGTTGGCCAGACACTCAGCACGGGCCTCTGACAGCTCAAGGCAAGAGGGGATGGGGGCTGCCCAGGGTCGGGGTTGGTCAGACACTCAGCACGGGCCTCTGACAGCTCAAGGCAAGCGGGGATGGGGGCTGCACAGGGTTGCGGTGGGGCTCACAGGCCTGCTGTCACTACTGTCGGTCCCCGGATCCTGGGCTCTGTGGATCTGTGTGCGGCTATCCACCTCTTCTTCACTGCCTCGCCATTACTCCCCAGATAATGAATGAAGGTGTCCCAGGCCAAAGACTAAGAATTCCAGCAGAAAACGTCAACCTTGGAAAGAAATCTGGACTTGATGAGGCAGGATGGATTCTGGAGACAGCAGGACGAGTGGGGCGATCAAGTCTCCTTCTGGACCCTCCTGCGTGTCCAGGCTGACTGTCTCTTCTTCCCTGGGCTGCAGCTCCCACACCTCTGCTGGGAGGCTGTCTGATTCACACACCCCCTCAGTGAGGGGCTCATTCCTCTGTGACCAGCAGCTCTTCCCAATCACCTTTGCAACAGTTGCAGGAACCTCTCTTTCCAGCCAAGAATGAAGGCGTCTGCCCCAATGGCACAGATCTGAATGACACCCAGGGGCCTGGGATAAGCTGCCCCAAGTCCTCCCTGCCATCCCCTTTCAAGGGCACTGCCAGCACTTGGCACACACCAGGTATTCAACCAATGTCTGGTAAATGAAAGGCAGCCTGAAGTAACAAGAACAGCCTGAGCAGAAGGACCATGTCACGTTCCCAGGAACCAACTGTACATACCTTCCTTTGGGGTCTTCCACCCACGAGCACGTTGGTCAGAACGGACACAATCACACAGAGCAGCACCGAGGCCAGCACCATCACTCCACCTGCCGCCAGCCACGAGAGGCCACAGAAGTAGCATGAGCTCTCGGCTGAGGTGCACACAATGACGTGAATGGCCGAAAGAACCAGGATCACCAAATAAAAGAGCAGAGAAAATCCAGGAGATGACAGTGGGACTTCCAGTTCAGCCTTTCTGTGCAGTGCCTGTGGGATGCTGAGCAGGAGCAGGGTGAGAACCTGGAACAGAGAAGCAGCAGCAGCGTCCACAGACTGCTGGGCTTGGAGAAACCCACTTAAAAATAAGCCCAGTGGCCGGGCGCGGTGGCTCAAGCCTGTAATCCCAGCACTTTGGGAGGCCGAGGCGGGTGGATCACGAGGTCAAGAGATCGAGACCATCCTGGTCAACATGGTGAAACCCCGTCTCTACTAAAAATACAAAAAATTAGCTGGGCATGGTGGCGCGTGCCTGTAGTCCCAGCTACTGAGGAGGCTGAGGCAGGAGAATTGCCTGAACCCAGGAGGCGGAGGTTGCGGTGAGCCGAGATCGCACCATTGCACTCCAGCCTGGGTAACAAGAGCGAAACTCCGTCTCAAAAAAATAAATAAATAAAAATAAACCCAGCTCCTGCTCTTCTGTCAGCTGTCCAACAGTAAAAACAGAAAAAAAAGCTCAGGAAAAGATTACTCCTAATGAACTGCCCCAAAATGCATGGCATGAATTTTTTTACCACCTGTAGCAATACTGAGTGAGGCCAACTGACACCTGACAACACTCTGTGTCTTATCACAAATCAGGACACACCATGAAAGAGTTAAACAAGAAAATCAACGTTTTCCCATTTTTAGTAACACCAATCTATGTCTTTAAAACTGTAACTATTTGGCTGAGTTATCAAATCAATGCAACACCTGAGCCATGACTGTGTGAGCATCTGTACCTCCAAGACCACGACCGTT